CATCCCTCTCTGCCCCATCCCTCCCCTGGCAGGGGGATCCAGCCCAGGGACCCCCCAGCTCTGCCCCCTCCCTGCAAGGAGCAGCCAAAAGCTGAGATCTGATAGCGGAGCCTGCTTGGAACAGCTGCCTGCTGACAAGTATAATAAACTGTATTAATGGTGTCATTATTATTCCCTAATTAAAAGCTAATAACTAAGAGTTAATTGCCTTTAAAAGATGAAGCAGTGCCATGGCAGGGATTTATCTCTGTTTTTCTTTGCTCGCCTGGCTGTGCTGATATTTTCAGGCTAATTAATTGAATCAAATCTTACTGAAAACTAATAATCTCCCTGTGTCGATTCAGCCAATTGAATTAAAAGGTATTTGCTGTGTGCTGGGCTTAAAAAACCCCTCACATTTATAAATAATATCTGTGTGTGTGTGGTGTCACCTGGGGTCACAGGGTCAGCAGGACACAGTGGGAAAAGCTTCAGGTGGGGAGAAGTTTCTGCTCATGTTCTGAGCAGGGACAGATTTCATTTTCATATTTTATTTTCATATTTTATTTTCATATTTTATTTTCATATTTTATTTTCGGGTGCAGGTGCAGCCACAGAACCAAGTGTGAAACTCCCCAAAAAGTGAAAAATCGACCCCTCTGCACCCCCTCTGCTGCTCCTGTGGTGCCAACTGTGGGGAACCAAATGTTCTCTCTGGAAATTCACTTTATCACTGTTCATCTTCAGTGCAGAGCAAATTTTATTAAAGTTCCCCAAAGAGCAAATTGTAAATTCATTAGGGCCCGTTTTGGACTGCACCTTCTCTCATTTTGGGTAAAAAGGAGATTAGAAGTCATCTGGGCTCCGTGATAATTAAAAAGAAGATGCTCAAACATAATTCTTAATTAAACAGCAATGAGATAAGAACTTGTGTAGTCTGCTTTTGGTGTGTTGGAAAGATGCAGAGGTTCCCATTGTAATTATGTGATTTATGATCTTCCACACAAAGATGTAATTAGTTTTTTCTCCCCCCTTTTTAAAATTTAAACATTATTTAGATAAAAAATCATGCAGCAATTTGAATCTGCTTTTCCTGAAGGAATAGTAATTTGGTTTGATTTATCTTTAGGTTTCAACATAAAAAAAATTATTTGGAGCTAAAAAGGGATAAATAAAATAAAAATATATAAAATAAAAAATAATAAACATAAAAAATTAACAAAATAATAACCTGTCCTGCAAGTCCAAGAGCTCTGAGGGCACCTCCAGCATCTCCTCCCCAGCCTCTGAAAATATCCCAAGGCCAAAATCTGCAGGGCCCATTGTGGGTTTATTTTAGTTATTTGTATTTTATTTTATTTTATTATATTACATTTTATTTTATTTTATTTTATTTTTATTTAATTTTATTATTTTATTCATTTTAATTTTATTTTAATTAATTTAATTTAATTTAATTATTTATTTATTTAATTTTATTTTATTTTAATTTAATTTTATTATTTTATTTATTTTAATTTAATTTTATTTTAATTAATTTAATTTAATTTAATTTAATTTAATTTTTATTTTATTTTATTTTATTTTATTTTTTATTTTATTAATTTTAATTTTATTTTATTTTAATGATTTTATTTTATTTTAATTTAATTCATTTTATAATTTAATTTAATTTAATTTAATTTAATTTTATTTTTATTTTATTTTATACTGTATTTTATTTTATATAGAGATTTTTTTTTTAATCATTTGGACACAATTTTTTTCCCTGAGGGGTTTATTATCCTCAGTAAGCCCCGGGCTAAGGCCCTTGTGTAACCCATTAATCTGGGGCTGCCATCTGCCCCCTGTGTGCCCCCCGTGAACCCCAATTTCTGCCGCCATGGCTGGGAGGAGCTGGGATTTGGGGTTTGGGGAGATAAAGGCACGGAGGGGTTGGGATTTGGGGCTTGGATCCCTGGGCAGATCCCACAGGGATCCCATGGGGGGCCAGCAGAAAATGGGAAAACCAGGGAGGTTAAAGGGTGGATGCGTCAAAGGGTTGGAGAGAGTGAGGTTATCACATTTTATCACACATTATTGTACTTTATCCCACTTTATCAAACATTATTTTACTTTATCAAACTTTATCACACAGCAGGGTCACTGCTGCTCTGCTCCAGCCCCAGGGCACCCCATCCTGCCAGGGACAGGGACAGCGATTGGGACAGGGATTGGGACAGGGATAAGGATAAGGAATAGGATTTGGGACAGGGTTTGGGACAGGGTGGAGTGGGACAAGGTGTTGGGACAAGGACAGGGACAGGGATAAGAAACAGGGACCAGAAACAGGGACAGAGACAGGAATTGGAACAGGGATTGGGATTGAGACAGGGACAGAGATAGAGAACAGGGTTTGGGACAGGGATAGGGAACAGGGACCAGAAACAAGGGACAAGGATAGCGATTTTGGGACAGGGACACTTCCCACTGTCCCAGACTGCTCCAACCCTGTCCAGCCTGGTCTTGGACACTTCCAAGGTTGCAGGGGCAGCCCCAGCTGCTCTGGGCACCTGTGCCAGGGCCTGCCCACCCTCCCAGCCAGGAATTGTCACAATTGTGGTGTTGCTGCAGTGCCTGAACTCGTGGTTTCCTCCCTGGGAATGTGGGAGCAGGCTCCCTGTACCCCCTTCCCACAGGATGAACTTGTAGCAATAGTAAGACAATTTTCTCAGCACCTCTGAGGGTATTTACTTTTTCCATTTCAGTTCTACATCTGTTCACTCGCCGGCTTGGAATTTGCAACCATCTTATTTAGGAGAAGGAATTGATTTCTCGCTCTGTTACTGCTGCTCTCGGTATAATTAAAGCATATTGCAACGTGAGGAATTTCTCCTGGCCTGGGAACTGCTCTGCCACTTGGGTAATTCTGTAAACCAAGAAAAGCTTTTCCTTTTCCTCTGGAATGTAAATCACAGCTACAGCTGCTTTAAAGCCTTTGTTCTGCTGCAGGGGCTGGGGGCTCTTGGTTCGGGGCTGTGCAGGGGCCTGGGGGCTTTTGCAAATCAATCCCTCAGGGATTTGGCATCCAGGCTGCTGCAGACTGGCTGTGCCCAGTGTGTGAGTGGGAGCTGAGCCCTTTGCTGCTCTGAGCTTTGTGGGCAGCACTGGGCTGGGGCTGGGGGGCCTGGGGCAGGGCCAGGGGTGGCAGAATTGATCAAAGCAAGAGCAGAATTCCCTCAGTGATGGCACCAGCACTGGTCAGGGTTTGGGGCAGCTCTGAGCCCTGCCAGGATGGTCCTGCCTGGATCTGAGCACTGAGCCATGCCCTGGGCACCCCCAAGGAAAAGCTGGGCTGCAGGGGTGGGTTTGGCTTTGCTCTCATTGTCCTGCTCATCTCTCATAAAAGGGGGCTCTGGGATCCCTGGTGAAACCTGTCCATGCCTCAACCCTGCTCCTGCAGCCCCTGCTCTGTGAAATATTCCCTGCAATGATTTGCTCCTTCCCCCCTGCTCACAGCTCTGATAAACTGTCAAAGCTGTCATTTGTGAGAGAGACAGAGAGAGGGAAAAATCCTGGGATCAATAAGGAACACAAGCCCTCCCTCCCTGCTGTAACAGGCATTAATGGGCCATCACTTGGAGCTTAATTAAAACCAAAGTCAGCCCCGTGCCAGCTCTGGCACAGCAAACCCACAGAGAGTGAGCTCAGAGCAGGAATTCCTCTTTCATTTGCCCTTTGCACCTGGGATGGGCACCAGGGTGCAACCCCAGAGCCTGGAATAATTTCTGTTATCATTTATTTTATCATTTGTTTTACCATTTATTAATCCCTGTAACTGGGATGTGATTCCAGATGTGATTCTCACTCTTGCTGGGCACTGCCAGGATCCCAGGGAATGGTGCCAAGGCTGCCAGAGCTCCAGGAGCTGCCAGGGATGCCCAGGGTGGGATTGTTGGGTGTCTGGGCAGGGACATGGGCTGCTCTGGATGATCCCTGCGTGCTCCTTCCAATTCAAGATATTCCATGACTCTGTGAAAAGATTTGATGCTGTATTTGCCTCCCTAACTGGCTTCCTGTGGAGCTGGTTGGGATTTTTTGAAAGATTTACTCAGCTCCCAGCTGCTGTTCAATTCTCTTTGCCACTCACCTTCTTGTGCTCCTTGTGGAATTTATTCCAGTGCTGTGAGGGGTTTGCATTTCAACGTGGGGGATGGTCATGGCAGCTCAGAAAGGATGGAAGCAGAATGAGAGCCTGGAGAGCAGTGCTGGGGATGGTTATTGGCACAGAGAGACAGGAATGGCAGAGCTGGGAAGGCAGGGAAGGCTGAGAAAGAGCTCAGAAGAAGAAAAATCAGTTTTTCCTTCCTCCTCTTCAATGATGACATAAAGTGAGCATCAAAAATCCCCTCCCTGATGAGAGGCTGCTGAGGTGCCTGTCCTGTGTCTCGTGGCTGGAACCACTCGTGCTACAAATTCCCTTTGAGTCCAGATTATGAAGGCAAAACTCGTTGCTATTCCCACACTGCCTGGAGGGCCCCGAGCTGTGGGTACAAACCAGGAGATTTCTGGGTTTTATTCCTGCCTCTTTTTCCCTGTGCCACTGGGCTGCTGCTGTTTGATGTGTGCTTGGCTCCCTCCCCTCCGTCCCTCACATGGAGTAACAGCATTTTGGAGGTGGTGCCATTCTCACCTGATGCTGATCATGGCTCTCTGGGAACCTGTTAATTAATTTTTTGTTCATTTCTTTAAGCTGGAGCCGAGCTGCTGCTGGTGGTGCCAGTGTAAGGAAGGAGAGGGGGAGCTGTGGATGTGGAAGGGAGGGAAGGATCCCAGATCAACTCTCCCATCAGTGCCACCCCTGCCATGGCAGGGACACCTCCCCAAATCTCCCCAGATGAGAAATTTCCTTTTTGCAGCCACATTTGGCTTGTACAGACGCCTATTTCCAGCAGGAGCAGAGGAGAGGGACTGCTCTGTGTCCCTGTTGAGCAGCAGGATGGGTTTGGGAGGCCCTCCCACACACACAGGGCTGCAGCACGTTCAGACAATCTTCCTTTAATACAAAGTCAATATATCTACATACACCGTGGTATGAAAACCACTTACTGTTTCAGTTTGAAATAACAGTGTGAAAGCAACAGCACTTTGCTCTCATACAAAGAAAAAAACCTCCCCCCTCCCCCCAACTTGTCCAGTAAGATTTTTGCTGCAACATACTTAGAAATTTGGGCAACTTTCACACAAATAAGTAAAATCTCGAAGAAGCCTTTCAGTCGGTTCTTTTTTTTTTTTTCTTTTTCATTTTTTCAGTTAAAGACAGGAAATGGGTTGTGTGGGGGGTTCTGGGCAGCACTTGATGGCCATGATTACCCCTTCTAGAAAAATAAAACAAAAAAAAAAAGAGAGGGCAGAGGTGAGCAGAGTTTGGGGCAGGGTGGCTTTTCTCAGATATTCTGAGCTCTGGATGCTGAAACTCCTGGGCACTGGAGCCACGAGCAGCACAGAGAGAGGCCAGGCTGGGTCTGCAACACACCTGGGATGGTAAAACACCTGATGGGTGTCAAGGCTCCAAAATCATTCTGTCTCCAGTCAGCAAAAGCCACTGGTGGTGTTGAATGTCCCAGTTCAGCCCTGGCCCTGCGTGGCCACAGCTGGAGGGGAATTGGCACTGCCACCAGCCCAAAAGGGGAATTGGCACTGCCACCACCCCAAAAGGGGAATTGGCACTGCCACCACCCCTAAAGGGGAATTGGCACTGCCACCACCCCTGCACCTCCTGCTCCCTCCCTTCCAGGGACCTGGGATATGTCTGTGATTGAAAACAAGAGAACCCAAAAAAAAAAAAATTACTAATAATAATAAAAAAAATTCAGAAAGGACATTTTGTTCTTACATGAGCAAGTTAAACCTTTTAAATGGTAGAAAAGCAATATGTAGAAGTAGCAATTTGCACTGCATTTTTATATATCACAGCCATTACACGTAACATTTCTACAGTGAAAAAATAGACTGTCTTTGAACATAATATGAACAAATAAGCAAATTTTTCTTTTAAATTCATTGACTGATATTCTTTGTCTTTAAAAAAAAAAAAAGGAAAAAATACACTATTTAAAAAAAAGGTAATGTCACTTGTTACAGTTACATCGATACTTTAAAGAAAGCCACTCACAGTATTTGCCATTGGATGCACCTTCCTGGATCTTTCCCAGTTCTTTTACAGCTGGGGCATGTTGGGGACAGTGGGAGATGTGCAAGGAGTGCCTGGTGCTGGGCCAGTCCTGAGAGGAGCTCCCGAGAGCTGCTGAGTTCAGAGGCGAGGGGCTGGCACCAGGAACCAGCTGGGTTTGGGAAATCAATTTCTGCAGGGGGTTCTGGGGCTCCTGCAGGGAGATGCTGCTGGCAGGAGCAGGGGGACACGGCTGTGGATGTGCAAAGAGCCTGGGGAAGGGGCTGCCTTCGTCCCACCCTGCTCCAAGGAAAGCCTGGTGTGCTGGGAGGGGGCCCAGACCCAGCAGCCAGAGACCCCAGCCCAAGCAAGGCAGGGGTTACCCCCCACAGCCAGCTCTGGGGGTTGTAACTCGCTCTTTTAGCCTTTTAAATACCCTAAAAAATAAAATTTTGGAATTAGAAGAAATGAGGAATGTTCCAAGTATTCAAAACGTGAGCTATAAAACCTCTGGCGTGGCAGGGGCATCCCGTGAATGTTTGCAAGGTGCCTGCAAGCCCAGAATCATCCCAATGCTGATACTGAGGTTATTAAGACTCCAGCTAGAAGAACTCCTGACCCTAAGTCTGCCTAAGTGTTGAGATTTAGCTCCTTTTCTTTCACAGAACACCTTCAATTCTGCAAGTGACTTCCTTTAAAGACTGCCAACTACATTAGTAAATAAACTGAACTCTAATGATGTAACCAAAGTCGGTTTTTCCTTCCCTTCTCCAGCAGAAACGGTTCCCAAGGTGTGTTGTAGCTTTTGGATCAGTTTCCCCATGTCCATCCATCCATCCATCCATCCATCCATCCGTCCATCCATCCTCCCCAGGGAACACCTCCTGAGGTTGCAGAGCAGGTGTGAGCAGCCCTCCCGGGCTGCCCCTGCGAGGGCCAGGTCACAAGGTGGAGATGCCCAAGGGGTGTTCCTTCCAATCCTCCCCCCTGCTCCCGATGCACTGTCCAGATGAAAAGGTTCTTCTTCTGAGTCAGTTTTGTAAGTTCAAGCGCTCCTCCTGGGTCAGAAGAGGCCTTCCAGGACTGAAGTGGTTGGTAGAGTCTGCACAACGATGGCTTTTTATGTTGCATAGTGATCAAAACTTCCCAGATACTCCAGAGCTGCCTGGTAACAGAACTGGTATTCATCCTGCCAACAGCAAAAAGAAGCAGCCTCAGAGGTGGGAATGGCTCCTCAGGACCCCTGTCCTGCTTTCCAGACAGCACCAAGCTGAGCAGGAACCTCTGTGATTCTCAAAGAGCTGAGAACTCCTGGGAGAGGGAAGCTCCAGCCCTCCTTTATGCCTGTGCCTCTCAGGTGCTGAACATCCCCCTCTCCTGACAGCCCCACAGATTTGTGTGCTTGGCTAAGAACAGAGCCTCCAGACTGGCATGGAATCTTTAAGGGACTTTCTAACAATGGGAATAGGGTTTTTTTTTTAATTCTTTTTGTATTTTTTAGTCAGTAGTGCAGCCTGGGCCAGTGAAGGCAGTGAAACGAGAGGGGCTGGAGGTTCCTCTCTCAAGCCAAGCCAAGCCAAGCCAAGCCAAGCCAAGCCAAGCCAAGCCAAGCCAAGCCAAGCCAAGCCAAGCCATTTCCTGATCCCTGGGACAGGCTGGGGGCCCCCCTCACCTCTGTTTGCACCATTGCAGGTCGTTGTGTTCGCAGCATCTTCACTGTCTGGAAAATATCTACAACCCCCTCGTAGCGCATCCGCTCCAGGACGATGCTCAGGGTGATGAACACTCCGGTCCTGCCCACGCCAGCACTGCAGCAAAGGGGGGAAATCATCAGGGAATTGTGTGCTGCAATGTCCAAATGTTCCTGTCAATGCTGCTTGGGGTGGGGCTGAGCCCTGTGAATGCGTTGGAAGTGGAGAGCCTGGGTCAGTCCTCCAGGAGAGACACCCAGAAATAACCCAAGTGCCACAGTGTGACCCAAAAAATGCTTGAGGAAGGGAAATTTAAGAAGTTAAAAGCTTTGGGTAGTGGTAAACAGTGTTGAGTAGGAAAATGATTCATAATATGTAATATTGGGCTTTTGAAAATGAATAATTTTAATAAGAATAGATCATCCTGTCCTGCCTGTGGGTAAGGAGGTACAATTCTTGCTAGCAGCAAACAGCCCAGCAGTGCTGGAGGTGTAAATTGGGTTGACACTGGTAAAAAATACTTCTAATTCTGCAGGTCAAATATAACAGATATTCTATAGATATGTATATGTCACACTGTGGCTCTCATCTCCTTCAGAGGTATTTAATCTCTCTAAATATAAAGAGTCAAAAGCCTTGTGGGCAGTGCCAGGGCTGAAGGGAGATGAGTTTGGCTGGCAGAGGCAAATGTTTGGCACCAACACCCAAGAAATCTCCCTGCAAGGATGGGGTGGAAAGGGAGGATATCTGGATTGCAATTCCCTCTGCTCTCCCCCATCCCATCTGGGTGAGGTGTGTCCAGGTGCCTACCTGCAGTGGACAGAGATGGGGCCATCCTGGCCAAACTGCTCCTTGGTCTTGTGCACCTGCCCAATGAAGTCGATGAAACCTTCTCCTGATTTTGGCACACCTTGCTCTGGCCAGTCAGTGAACTGGAACTGACGAACAGTTCGTGACTGACCATCCTGGGGGACAAAACAGGAATAGTTCAACACCTGTGTTTGTGACAACACACAGAAAAGGCAAAAAAACCCTCTATTTTTGCTGCTGGTTTGTTAAAGGGCATGAAAAGTTGAGGCAGCTCAGTGTTGTAGTCGAGTGCACACGTATTTATTATCCAGCCCCATGGTGATGAAGCTGCTTGTGTTGCAGCTGACATTCCTGGAGTCAGGCTGTCAGCACAGATCCATATCCTGGCAGGTGCTGAAAGCTCTGACCACTGCAGACAGCACAGATGGAGTCTTCAGCAAAGGAACGTTCAAGGTGAGGTGTTGGCCCCTCTAATCAATCTTCACAAAGAATTGCCACAGTGTCAGAATTACAGCTGACAGGAAGATAAATCTTGTTCTACGAGGACTGATGAGGCATCCTCCTCCTCAACCTTGCAAATTGAATTATCAGGTTCTGGAATACTTTGGCAACCTCAAAAGCTGTGCTGTGAGAGGGAGGGTTATGTTTGCTACAGAAATTTGAGAAGGTATTGAAATGTTCCTTCAGATGAGAAAGCTGACATTGAATCGAAGATTATTGGAGTGAATTTGTCCCTTTGAACATGACTGACAGTGGCTCCTCTCCAAGCCATAGAAGTGCTCATTTTCTGAAGGGTGCAGAAAAACCTTTGCAAGATTTTTATCAGCTTTTGCTTTCTGCTTTCACCTCAAATAAGCTGCAGCTAAACCCCAAAGCCAGGCACCTCTCTAACAAAGCAACTCATGGCAGTGAGAGAGGTTTGAAACTACTTTCAATTTGTAAGAACAAATACTCCAGTCCAACCTGTGTGTGTGTGTTCTGTTCCTCATCACAACTGAGCTCTTGGGCACATGGACTCCAAACCTCCCTGGGCAGCCCCTTCCACTACCTGACCAGACTTTACATGGAGAAATTCCTGCTGATGTCCAACCTGAACCTCTCCTAGCACAGCTTGAGGCTGTTTTGTCTTGTTCTGTGAGCAGAGCACCTTGTTCTGTGCAGGGGCTGGACTCGATGATCCTTGTGGGTCCCTTCCTACCAGGACATTCCATGAGCTCTCCTCCACTGATGACCCCAGAGAAAGTGTGGACACCTCAGCCAAGCCCCCCAAACCCTCCTGCCAGCCCCATTCCTCCCAGTTTGAACTGCCCCACGCCAACACCTACCCTGGCATCTGTGACCTTGAACTCCCTCAGGATGTACTGGGGCATGTTGTACTCAGCCATGGGGTCCACCACGAAGTACTGGTACCGTGCTGAGCGCTCTGCAGGCCAGTACTGATGGCACTTCTCCTGTTGGGGCAAACAGGTCCTGTCAGCCCTTGTCCATCCTGCAGATCCCCTCCCAGCCCTTTCCTGCCCTCCAGGATCCCTCCCAGCCCCACTCACCCGCCCCATCTCCCGAAGCTTGGTCAGCATCACCACGATGGTGGAGTTGTTTTCCCAGAGCATCCTCCAGAAGTCCTCGGTGGTCTCTGCCAGTGGCCCCTGCGTGGCTATGTAGGCTCTCTGCTGCCTGGGGAGCCCAAAGCAAGGAGGGGTCAGGGGGCTGAGCACTGCATGGGCAGCAGCTTTGGGGAATGCAGGGAAAGGCTGGAGAGTGGCAGAGCACATGGAAGTGCTGGGGAAGGACTAGAACTGCACAGGGTCTAGAGGGGTTGGGATGTCTTTGGTGCCAGTGGTGAAGCTTTCCTTAAATATCACTTCCAAGGGGTAAATCCAACCTCCAGGCATGGAGCTGCCCTAATCCCAGTGCCACAGCCATGGCCAGCACTGCTGGTCCTGGACAGGAGGAAAAGCTGAACATGGAGCTCCTTCGTTCCCTCCAAACCCAGCCATGGAGCGCTGCAGCTCCCAGGGCTGGATTTTCCTGGGGGAAGCTTTGGGGATTGCAATGCCCCTAAATCAGAGAGGTAACAAAAGGGCCAATCCATATTAAGAAACCTCCCAAAGGCCAAACCCACCCTGGGCTGATCCTCTGTGTGTTCAGGACCTGCAGCTGAGGAGGGGCTGCACTGCTTTAGAGGATCATTTAATAATTTAGCTATCATAGAGGTAATTTAAGACTACCACAGGGGAAAAATCTCCTCAGCAGGCTGGATTTGAGTGTGGGGTGGGATTTAGCCCTGGCACCTGTGATGGGGCAGGTGATGGGCAGCACAGGTGATGGGGCAGGTGGTGGCCAGCAGGGGCTGCCCGTGCAGGTGATGGCCAGCACAGGTGGTGGCCAGCAGGGGCTGCCCGTGCAGGTGATGGCCAGCACAGGTGGTGGCCAGCAGGGGCTGCCCGTGCAGGCGATGGCCAGCACAGGTGGTGGCCAGCAGGGGCTGCCCGTGCAGAGGCAGCCAGGGCTTGGGGCTCAGGGCTCGGGGCAGAGCCGTACCTGTAGCCATCAATGAAGCTGGCGTTGATGTAGTCGGAGCCCTCGACGCCGCGGATGGGCTGCAGGCACACCCGCGTGGTCTCGTAGGGCATGATGTTCACCAGGCGGTTCTTGAACTTGTTGCAGGGCAGGTTGGCGCTGATGAAGCGCGAGGTGTGGGCCTTGGAGTTGGCCAGGCGCTGTGGGCAGGAGACACTCACTGGAGGCTGCTCCTGACCCATGCCAGCCCTTAAACCTGTCCTACCCTCTGGGTGCCCTCCTGGGGTTTGTTTCTGGGGTGAGGCCTTTCCCTAGCAAAACTTTCAGAAAATAGTACTACTACTAAAAAAGTTAAAAATCCCTCCAATTTAAGAGGGGGTAAAGTCATTCTGGATCTGGAATGAGCAGGGAAGCAGCCTGTGGTGCCAGGCAGGCTTTCCCAGGGAACTGCAATGTAAGTACCTCCCACATGGAAGCAGCAAGGTGCCACCTGCCTGACGAAGGCTCCCTGTGACCACCCAGCCCTGGGCAGCCCATCCTCACCTTGAACTCCAGCTCCATGCCCGTGACGTGCTCCCTGGCCTCGATCTGTGCCAGTTTCTGGATGTAGCTGTAGAGGTTCCGAGCCGGGACCTCAGTGTTGCCGCAGGCCACGGCCTCCAGCAAGGCATCGTGGATGAAGCTGTACTGGTCCTCAGTCTGCACCATGTAGTTGCGCTGGGACCTCATGAGGGTGACGTGCCCGTAGATGTCCACGGTCTTCTCGTGCTTGATCCTCTCCAGCATGGCGTCGATCACGATGAAGCAGCCGGTGCGTCCCACGCCCGCGCTGGGGACAGGGCACAGGGGGTGAGGGATTGGCCTTCACTGGGTGGTGCCTGCTGCCCCTGCACGCTGCTCTGTGTCCCCTGCACGCTGCTCTGTGTCCCCTCCATATCTCTCTGTGTCCCCTCCACGCTGCTCTGCCCCCTCTCCACCCTGCTCTGTCCTGTCCCCCCTCCACTGTGACACCCCAGGCCAGGCACAGCTGTGGCAGCCCCCCCTGAGGCTCCAACAAGGGGCTGGCAGGATCTAACCCCCCTGTTTAATGTCTCAGATCTCTGCAGCTGAAAGAGCACTGATGTTGTAATGAGCAACATGCGTCACCTCTCTCCCTCAATGTTTTTGTGCATCAGGTAACATCAGACCCGTGTGTAATGGCATTTGTGCCTCAGCAGGGCTCTGTGCTCTCTTGTGCCACTGCTAATAAAGGGTTTCCTTTTACCATTCCAGTGCTGTCCCTTTTTTCCTGGAGCCCCCTTGATCTCTGTTAATTAGACTGCCTAACACCTGAACCAAGCAGGTGACTGGAGCTTTGGCAAGAATTTAGCAGCTGATCTGGGAGCTGGTTGTGAGCTGACAGCTCTTTATTCATTTTTCTGAGGTGCACAATAATTGCCATCTGCAAGGGTAGTGATAAGTTGCCCACTCACAAAGACTGTTTAAATGGCATCCTCCAGCAGAGGCAGGATTAGCTTCCCCAGCAGCCTGCACAATGCAGATCTTCCCCCAGTGCCCAGGAACCTGCAGGCTCCTCCACACCCTCCTGAGGAACACAGGGATTTATCTGCATTGAGGCCTCGAGGATTCCTCATTGGGTTGTAAATTAAATTAGGGAATGTTACCTGCCTTCAGCCTGGCATTATCAGGAAGGCTGCAGCACTCAGAAACCCTTTGTCAATCACTGTCAGCCCTGCCTTGGGCAGCTGAGGCAGCTCTGCCTCCCAGACACCTCCAACACCCTTTGAGGTCACACCTCCTCCTCCTCCTTTCACATTGTGACCACAGACAGCCCCACCACACAGAACCAGACACTGCTACAGCACCAGGCACTTCCCATGGCTTAACCAGATCATCAAATCCCAGAATGGTTTGGTTGCAAAGGGACCCTAAAGCTCATCCAGTGCCACCCCCTGCCATGGCCAGGGACACCTTCCACTGGAGCAGGTTACCCCAAGCCCTGTCCAGCCTGGCCTGCAGCACTTGATCCAAGTGATTTGGCCCAAATAGTAACCCAATGGTCTCAGGAGCCACTCATCTTGGTGCAAGTCCAAGTGAAAGTAATGGACCTCTCACTAGTCCTAAACACATTCACACTCTCAACCCTAGTAACCCTCTCCACCCCCATCCTATTCCGTCTTCTATCCAACAACCTCAAAACCACTCCTAGCACAATTACAAACACAGTCAAAACTTCTTAATCAGCCTAATCCCAATAACAATCTACATCCACTCTGGAACAGAAAGCCTCACCTCCTTCTGCGAATGAAAGTTCATTATAAACTTCAAAATCCTCATCATCCTGTTCCTCATCATCTCAGGACATGCTGAGCTCAATGGAATCCCCAGGCTCCCTTCTCAATGCCTGGGGATGCACCTGTGCCCAGGTAAACCCACCCCCTCCAGAAGTGCCAGGGGAGGGCAGCAGTACCTGCAGTGCACCACGATGGGCCCAGCATCCGGGGGGTTGCAGGTTTTGACCCGTCTGAGGAAGGCCAGGAAGGGCGTGGGGTACTCGGGCACGCCGTGGTC